TGAATAGGGAGGCTGCAATCTTAACAAATGTTGGCAAGCTATTAGAGAGGCGGGGAAAAGAGTTTCTGGGTTCAAGGTATAAGGATCCCATTTCAAATTTTTCTGATTTCCAGGAATTTTCTGTCACAAACCCTGAGGTGAGGTAACATAAATGTTGTATGACTGGTTTTTGATTCAGAATTTCGCCTAATTTGCCGAGACTTATCATCTTCTGTTTTTGTGCCTCATTTGTCAGGTCTACTGGAGAACAATATTCAATGAGATGAATGTATCTTTTTCGAATCCTCCAGAATGTATTTTCCATGAGAATGTGCCAGGAGGAGGGCAGGTTTCACATCCGGGTGGTCAATGGCTTCCTGGAGCATATGTGAATCCAGCAATGAATTGTTTGAGTGTTAACTCTAAGAGGAGTTTGGATGATGCATCGATAGTATGGCGTGATGAAGGAAAGGATGATCTGCCTGTGAACACAATGACACTTGAGGAATTGCGTTCAGAAGTTTGGTATGATACCACATATCCTTTAATCTTTGTTTCGTCAGACTCATTCTCATGTTTTTGTAAGATTATTTGTCCATTGTCCTGTTTACTATGTATTTGGGAACAAAAAATCTTCAAAATCAGGAATTCTCCAAAAGACGTAATAGTTGCTTTAAATTTTGATGTAATCTCCTGGAAACTTAAAGCCATTACACATTATTAGTTGGTGCCCCCTAGATTGTTGATTTTTTATCATGACTTTCAGTGCATATTGTAGCTCTGGATTCCCATAACATATGGTGCTTAGACTATGTCTGGATAACTAATAATTTATGTCTCTTAAAACTTAGTTTAGTTTGCAACCAAGTATGTCCACACATCATCAATATTTTACTAGAATTCCTTGTCCTGCTAGCTAGCTTCTATTACTGTTGGTGGGTCGTGAATAATATCACAGTGAAGGATTCTATAGTACGGCCAGATTTAGACAATACCATCCTTATCATGAGTCCTATATGAGCTTGAAAGATATGTGATATTAACAAAATTGGGGCAATGGCATTTGTAGGATGCACAATTAGGCTCTCTGAGGCGTACCATCTTTGTTTTTCATGGTATTGTGAGGCTAGTCATGCTAGTATGTGTTCCAAGCCATTGAATAAGTAACATAATAGCATGTGTTTTTGAGATTTTGGTTTGTTATATCTAAAACGAATATGCTATTAACAAACAACGTTCTGATATTCCTTTAGAATATTCAGGAAAAGAATATTTTCAACCGTTTGTATTTATAATATGAAGTAACTGAAGTTCACTTGGTTACACGTTGAAGGTTAGTAGCTCATGCGCTTAAAGAACTGGGTTTGGAGAGAGGATCTGCAATTGCAATTGATATGCCAATGCATGTCCATTCGGTCGTTATCTACCTAGCTATTGTTCTTGCAGGCTATGTTGTTGTATCTATAGCTGATAGTTTTGCTGCTGGTGAAATATCAACAAGACTCAAAATATCAAAAGCTAAAGCCATATTTACGCAGGTGGTTACAGTTTCTATGGAAGCTCTAAATGTTGATCTTTTTTTTTTTTTTTTTTTTTTTTGGGTTTATCTTAAA